TCAGTTTTTGGGTCTCAACTGAAATGACTATATGTCAGGGACCGCCGCGGCGCCTCCCCCGGCGCACGCGCACTAGCGGTGGCTCACGCCGGGACACAAGCACCAGGTCCCGGCGGGCCACGGCTGACAGGACGCCGCGCATGCGTAGTAGGAGCCGCGGGGCGCGCCTGGGGCGGCCAATGGACAGCCCGGGGGCGCGTCCCGGGCGGCCAATGACAGTGCAGGGCGCGATATTTAAAGATGCCCTGCACTGTCACAGATTGCCGCAAGGTCTATCTGTGTTCCTGAGTTCCTGTACCTGAAAATTGACCCTGATTGCCCTGACTACGCTGCCTTCTCCTGTGTTTGACCCGGATTGTCCTGACTACGCTGCCTTCTCCTGTGTTTGACCCGGATTGTCCTGACTACGCTGCCTTCTCCTGTGTTTGACCCGGATTGTCCTGACTACGCTGCCTTCTCCTGTGTTTGACCCGGATTGCCCTGACTACTCTCTCCCTTCTCCCCTCCTGACTCCCGGCTTGTTTGACCTATCTGCGGACTGACTTATCCTGCTGACCCTGCGTGTGACCTGATTACTCTCCGCCTGCCGATTCTGTACCTCGCCTACCCCACGGGACCACTGCTCGTGATCCATCCTGCTAGGTCCTGCCGGCCTCCTCACATCTGGCTCTCCCGGTACCTATACATCCCCGGAGGTTCCCTCTGCCACTGGTGGGCCTGCTCAGAGGTCGTGACCTGGTCCTGGTCTGTTACAAGTCCAACCCCACCATCAGGGGCCCTGGTGAAAGCACAGACCGGGACTTAGACTCCACGCTTTGGGTAGGTCTGTCAAGTGGGCAGCCAGAGGCACCACCTGGCGGATCATAACACTATATATGTGTTTTAGGCTTCGTTCACACTAGTACGGGTGGAAGCTGCTGCGGGACCCGCACTTCAGCACACAGCTGAAACAATCCGCACTTCATCACTCAGCTACAACCACCCGTACTTCTTCACGCAGCTGCAACAACCCGCACTTCATCACACAGCTGCAACAACCCGCACATCACGCAGCTGCAACGACCCGCACTTCATCACGCAGCTGCAACAACCCGCACTTCACGCAGCTGTAATAACCCGCACTTCATCACGCAGCTGTAACAACCCGCACTTCACGCAGCTGTAACAACCCGCACTTCATCACGCAGCTGCAACAACCCGCACTTCATCATGCAGCTGCAACAACCCGCACTTCATCATGCAGCTGCACACTTCACCCGCAACACCGCACTTCATCACGCAGCTGCAACACCCGCACTTCATCATGCAGCTTCAACAGCTGCAAACTCGCACTTCATTACACAGCTGCAACAACCCGCACTTCATCACTTCATCACGCAGCTGCAACAACCCGCACTCATCATCACGCAGCTGCAACAACCCGCACTTCATCACTCAGCTGCAACCACCCACACTTCACGCAGCTGCAACAATCCGCACTTCATCACGCAGCTGCAACACCCGCACTTCATCATGCAGCTGCAACCACCCGCACTTCACGCAGCTGCAGCTGCAACAACCCGCACTTTCATCACATCAGCTGCAACAACCCGCACTTCATCATGCAACAACCCGCAGCTGCAACAACCCGCACTTCATCACGCAGCTGCAACAACCCGCACTTCATCACGCAGCTGCAACAACCCGCACTTCATCACGCAGCTGCAACAACCCGCACTTCATTCACGCAGCTGCAACAACCCGCACTTCATCACGCAGCTGCAACAACCCGCACTTCATCACGCAGCTGCAACCACCCACACTTCACGCAGCTGCAACAACCCGCACTTCATCACTCAGCTGCAACCACCCGCACTTCATCACGCAGCTGCAACAACCCGCACTTCATCACGCAGCTGCAACAACCCACACTTCATCACGCAGCTGCAACAAACACACTCATCACGCAGCTGCAACAACCTGCACTTCATCAAGCAGCTGCAACAACCCGCACTTCATCAGGCAGCTGCAACAACCCACACGTCATCACGCAGCTGCAATAACCCGCACTTCATCACGCAGCTGCAACAACACCGCACTTCATCACACACTTCAGCTGCTGCAACCACAGCCACACTTCACGCAGCAGCTGCAACAACCCGCACTTCATCACGCAGCTGCAACAACCCGCACTTCATCACTCAGCTGCACTTCATCACGCAGCTGCAACAACCCGCACCACCCACCACCACACTTCACGCAGCTGCAACAACCCGCACTTCATCACGCAGCTGCAACAACCCCACACTTCATACTCAGCTGCAACCACCCACACTTCACGCAGCTGCAACAACACCGCACTTCATCACGCACTCAGCTGCAACCACCCACAACCCGCACTTCAACCTGCACTTCATCAGCTGCACTTCATCACCAGCTGCAACAACCCGCACTTCATCACTCAGCTGCAACCACCCACACTTCACGCAGCTGCAACAACCCGCACTTCATCACGCAGCTGCAACAACCCACACTTCATCACTCAGCTGCAACCACCCACACTTCACGCAGCTGCAACAACCCGCACTTCATCACTCAGCTGCAACAACCCACAATTCATCTCGCAGCTGCAACCACCCCACACTTCACGCAGCTTCAACAACCCGCACTTCATCACTCAGCTGCAACAACCCACAATTCATCTCGCAGCTGCAACCACCCACACACAAAATGCAGGATAATAATGTTAATTGCACACCCCCACACTGGGATCCGCACTGTAGTGCATTCCCAGTGCAGGTTGCGATTTCTGGAAAGGTGAAGGGAATTTTTCTCTGCGTTTTGTGAGGCACGGCATCCCATTAAAATGAATGGGCTGCTGTGCTGCAGCCTGCAAAAGGGCACCAGTGTGAACCAAACCTCAACATATTGTATATGGATTTAGACTTGATCCAAGTTTGAAGTCCATATCTTAGCACGATCACCAGCATTTCTTTCTACAAAGAGGAGTAAATCTTTTTTGTTCCCCAAGACCTGGGGCTGCTGTGGAACTACAAGTTCCATTATGCCTCTGACTTTGTGAGTAGCTGTCAGTCTTCCCATCATGCCTCTGCCTCTGGGAGTCATGCTTATAACTTTGGGTGTTATTTACTAAAATTGAAGCGTGCAAAATCTGGTGCAACTCTGCATAGCAACCAATCGGCTTCCAGGTTTTATTGCTAAAGCTTAATTGAACAAGCCAAAGTTAGAAAATGATTGGCTACCATGCACAGCTGAACCAGATTCTGAGTGCACCAGTTTTAGTAAATCTACCCTGTCAGTCTTGCAATGCCTCATTGAACATGTAGTTCCACAACAGTTGCCCACGTCTTCCCTAGACCTAAACAGGCAATTAACCTCCTTAGCGGTATTCCCGAGTGTAGCTCGGGGTAACATTTCAGTACCAAGAGCGGTAACCCCGAGCTACACTCAGGAATACCATGCGGCACTGCTCCGGCATTTGTTCTTCACTTACCTTACCCTGCGCTCCCGCGATGTGTCCCCTGCAGCATCCCCGGCCATCTCCTCTGGCCGATGCCGGCATCCGGCTTCTGTGTCCTGTCCCTGTGACATCGGGACGTACGGGCGCCGCCGCCGCTGGCGGCGGGAAATTTAAAAAATTTTAAAAAATGTCATTTTTTTTTTTTTTTACATTTTACATAGTAAAACATTGCTGTCTCAACCAATTTCACATACATTTTGTCCCGAGTGCTTTGTCCGGCGCCCTGCCTGCATTTTGTCTGTTCTTTCTGCCTGGAAACTGAGAAACGTCCATGGTGTCCAAAAAGTGTCCCTTTAGGTCAAAAGCGGTTTAGATCAGCTAGAGAACAGCGATAATAAATCAGAACCACTTGCAGAATTGAGTGATAATGATTAGTGGGGGAAATTCGTCATCAGACACTGAAAACGATTTTGCGACTGAGCTTAGCAATGTGCGAACTTGGCGCTATATTTCAAATTTCAGTGTTTTTGGTTTGATTATATTATTGAATTAAATGTATTATTATATTACTATTTTTTATATGAGTATTTATTAAATTATAATTTATGATTTCGTGTTTCAAATTTTATCATACCCGGGATGTTTACTAGACTCTTGTTCGAACAGATTTCAGTGAGTTATTCCTAAAAATTACAAAAAAAAAAGGCCTACAATAAAAAAAACTACATATTTCCATGCAAAAAAATGGTACCGTTTTCAGCACCAAAAATCGGAAAGAATCATACCGCCAAGGAGGTTAAAGTGACATTAAAGGCTTTTTTTTTCTTTTTAAAATAATAAACATGTTATACTTACCCGCACTGTGCAGTGGTGATTTTGAACAGAACAGCATTAACCCCCCACTTCTCGGGTCCCCCGCAGGCTCTCCTAGCCCCCCTCCTGTCACGTGCCCCCAAATCAAGCCGCTTGCTATGGGGGCACCAAGGCAGGTTTGCTCCCGAGCTGCTGCTCTGTGTGTCCATTCACACACAGAGCCGCAGCTGACCCTGCCCCCTCTCTTTCCTCATTGGTTGTGATTGACAGTAGTGGGAGCCAATGGATCACGTTGCTGTTTTAGCCAATGAGGAGGGAGAGTCCCCGGAGAGCCGAGGCACATTGCTGGATCACGATGGGGCTCAGGGCTGGCAGGAAGGGGGGGGGGGGTTGTGCTGCATGAAGGTCAAAAGCCTGGAGCCTTTAGAATCCACGTTAAAGTGTAACTAAAGGCAAAAGAGTGGTGGAGAGGGCTTGGAGCCCATATCAGGTTTACTGTTATCTGTTTAGCAACATTCACCCTCCCTATTTGTCCTCTGTACTATTATCATTGAACATGAAAGTAAAAGAAGATCCCAAACTTTGGGTTGTCCCCAGAAAAATGAGGACACTTGTTCTGGTGACCTGGTGGGTCTCCAAGGAATTCTTTAAGTGCATTGTCCTAACTTTGGAGTGTGTTTGTTCAGAATTTCAAATATTTCTTATTGATTAATTCATACCCACATTTATAGGGACACAGAAGGAAAAACTGGAAAGTGAGGAAGTTTATTCTCAGAGAAGATCCCGCATACCTGCACTACTATGATCCAGCTTCGGTAAGAGAAAATTTTACACACTGGTTTATATTAGCTAAGTAAGTTCTTTGTAAACTAATTTATAATATTAGTCTGTAGTGCATTGGCCATAATAATTTCATATTATGAAACCGTTTATATTTGCCAAAGGGACTATGGTTCATGCTATGGGCCACATCACCATCTAAATGAGCCAGATATATCAATATGAGTTGTGTTAAACAATTCACCCTTTTGTCTCTCATGTCATTTTTTTTATGAATTTTAAAAATAATATATGTCCATTGAGCCTAAACGTTTAACACAATTCCCTTAAATATGCTGAACTCTGGCTATATAGATGTATACTATTTTTAATATTCATAAAAAATTCTTAGGTTGAGTCTTATTTGTTTTTATTTTTTTTTTTCTGTTGTCAGAAAGAACTTTATTTAACATGTTCAAGCATACTGATTCCAGAAATGCTCACATTGCAATATACAAATGCAGGGGCGGACTGACCATTTGGAAACTCGGGCACTGCCCGAGGGCCCGGGGTCAGTAGGGGGCCCCACGAGATGCCCCTGGTACCTTTTTCATAGGCTTTTTTTTTTGAGATTGGGCAAAGAGACAGGGGCCCCATGATCCCCTATTGCCCGGGGGCCCCGTGAGTTGTCAGTCCTGCCCCTGTACAAATGTGATGTCACATAAACAAGCATACAGACACAGCAGCCAGCTATACAGAGCTATGTTTAGCTATTAGACAGCCATCAAGGGCAGATAGCCCCACCTAGTGGTCAAAGACGGCCATTACTGAGAGGTTTCAACATCCAATAAAGCACATAGAGCAAAGACAGATATTTAAGATTGCATAATCCAAGACATCCTACCATTTGTTTGTAATGCAATAAATTGTTTTATTTCAACTTACTTTTTGTACAGTTGTTATTATAATTTAATTGAAAAGTCTATACCGAGCCATACAGGGTAGAAAGTGAAGGGAATGGGTCATGCCTCTGAATCATTCTGCTGTTTCAGTAATATGAGTTTTATTTCTTGTACTCTTCTTGTGGATTTTTCAGCAAAGCAGTTAAAGTGACATTAAACAAGATCTTTTTTCGCTTAAACCATACATATCCATTACTTAAAGTGTTACTAAACCCTGGACCCTGCAATCACTATATCTGGTCTCCCACGGTACACACAACATGGAAATGCAATTATTTTTACTAAATATAAACTGCTAAATACCTTTTTACATCAGCAGTTACAGCAGTCTTGTGACTTCTATCAGTGCCCAGCAGAGCACTGGTTAAAGCTTGTAGAAGAGTTTTTCATTCTCCCCTGATTTGTCCTATGAGGCTGCAGGCCCCTGACCTTCTGTCTGGATAGTGCTGATTGGCTCTGTGCTAATCACATGCACTCTCCCAAGAAAAAAAACTCTCTAGCAGTACAAACCAAACTAAGTATGTGTAGTCTCCCCAAGGCTCTGTTCTATCATCAGATGAATTGGGGACTGTGGAAGAAGGGAAGGATCAGAGAAGACAGGATCAAACAGCCTTTTTACACAATGCAGAGGTCTGACCCCTTAGGTTCCACAATGAGTTAAACAAGCATGCTTTACTGCTTATACATACTGATTTTACTGTTGTGGGTTTAGTAACACTTTAATGGACCTGGTAATCTATTTTTCATGAAACTGTTTCTTACTGTGTATTTCTGCATCCTTGTAATGTCCCCTGTGAGCTCCTGAACCTCTCCTTTTCCTTCTAGCTTCTGGTTGTTTGGAATGACCAGTGCACATTAGTTGTATTCATGTGCACTGCTCTCTGCGCCCTACAAATCCCATGTGTTGGCTGTACCATGCATTTGTATGAAAAAGTATCCTGTTCTGTTTGTATTGTTTCCTTTGTTTGAAATCCCTGGTGTTCCTGCCAGTCCCTCTGCTTTCCTATTAAAAGCTGACCACAACACTAAACAGAGAAGAAGTGTGGTCAGTTCTTTAGCCATGCTGGGAACTCAGCCTGCTCTCTTCCACTGACTTGTCCTGACACGCCTCCCCTTCTTTCACTGGGAAGATCAGTGTACTACAGTTTCTTCTCCCCCAGCTGTTATGCAGCTGAGAACAGAAGGAATGTGATCACGTTTTTTTTTTTTAAGTGTTTATAATGTATATATATATATATATATATATATATATACTGTATATATATATATATATATATATATATAAATGTTTTACCTTTCATATCTATTTTAAACTGAATAGGTTGTTTTACAAGGTGAGGGTTTACATACAGTAAACTTTAAGTTTAACCTTGTAATCATATGAAAAAGGAGCCTAGGTCTCCAACCACTGATTGTAAATCATAATCATGAAATATTCATATGCGCTACTTCCTATTTACCTAAGAAAAAATGAATGCCATTGTTTTTGCTCTTGATCATAATAAATAAAAATATGATTTTTAAAATATCACAGGAAGTTGCCTCCATGATCAAGAGGTACTACCAGGAGACAGTAAAACCGCCTAGCAGAGTGCATTTTGATACTGTACAATTTGCAGGCATGTGTAGGTTGCCCAATGCAGATGTAGCACTACCCCCTTAGCAGTGGCTGAGTTTTTTTTGGGTCCCCCTATAGTCTTGTACAGCCAGGCAACATGCATTTACTTCCACACTTGCAATGTGGAGACAGTAACCAGTCCTTAGGCTTGTTTTTGTAGTTTTATTAGGGGTATTGAACTTGGATAGGGTTGAGGGATGCATGTGGAACTGGAACTGTGAACTGCGAACTGCGAGCATAAATCTCCTTAACAACTATGTACAAGTCCATAGACAAACAGTCTCTCCTTAGAGAGCTCTCCAGCCCTTCTGGTGTATCTTCTCAGACCCCAGATGAATCCTCCTCCTCACCCAGCTGCCTGAGCTGAGGAAATCCCTGAGCAAGGGGACCCAGAAACTGCCACTCTAGTAAAGCAGCCCCAGACAAGGAGCTAGTTGGGTTTGCCACTTGACTGCCCTCTCCCCTTATCCAGCCCAGGAGGTGTAGGTTTACTTACTCAGTCCTCTCCTGTAAGCTTGTGGGTTGGTGGCTGCCTTCAGGGCTTATGCTGGGTTGGCTCCCTCCCTTCTTGCCAGGCTGTCCTCTCTCAGGGAATGATGAGACTGAGGGATTCTCCTTCCAAGATCCTCCCTGCAGGTGGGCCCCTCCCTGGCCCCCCTCCCAGACTCCACACACCAGCCTTCTCACTCAATCTTCCACCAACACTCACCACTTCCTGAACAGGCTCTCTCATACTTAAGGACTGTCCTGACCTCATGCCAAGCCTCCTGCTTGGGGATTGGTCAGAGTCCCCTGAGTATGCAGATCAGACCCTCCCCACCCCTACCCACAGCCTTCTAGAAACTCCTCAAGCTTCTAGAGCAGGGGGAGGTATCAGAGAACTGACCAGCAGAGCCCTCAGCCCTGACCCAGAGTAACCTGTCTGACTCATCCCAGGTCGACTCATACCAGTCTGCTATTCAACCTCTGGCTAAAAACCTAGCCAGCTCCCCCTGGCTAACTAGAGAGGCACTACACAAACATAGTCAAATGTATTATAGGAGAAGCTCCTGTCACAAAGTTTATTGATTAAATTGTTTTCTTTGTATCAACAGGGGGATAATGAACCTTTGGGATCGATTCACTTGAGGGGCTGTGTAGTGACCGCAGTAGAGGGTCTGGCTGATGGTGAGTTGCTCACTACATTTGATATGGCAGTTTAATGAATGAATACACAGAAGTTTCTTATACATGGGAGTTGAAATTGTGTTCACTGTCAAGTTTCTATTACTTTCTGGGTTATTTTTCCTGGTGACCTGTGTTGGTCATGGAAAATCCAAAAAATTTTTATCCAAAAAATTATTACTAGAATAGAAAAAGGGGGGAAATCTCCAAATCCGGACACCTATTTTGGAGGCAACTGTCTGTCCTTACTTGAGAGATATTTCCCCTCATTTCTTGTTTCATCTCTGGGACAGGAAGTGAACAGTTTCTTTTTAAAGCTGAACTCCAGGCAAAAAAAAAGTTTTCCCATGCAGTGGGGCTGTGCCTGCATTGCTCAGGTCAAATGCTCAATTTTGTTTAAGTCTCCATACTTTCTAAACAAATGGACAGTTCACTGTCCTCTGGGCTTTAGATGGTCCGGACTGTGGCCATTCTGAGTAGAAATAGTCCTGGCATCAGTCCATCAGCCAAAGTCCTTGGGGTCATTCTGGACTCTAACCTCTCCTTCCAACCTCATGTCAAATCACTGACAAACACATGCAGGCTCCACCTCCGCAATATCGCCAAAATACGCACCTTCCTTACCCCAGACACGCGCTAAACTACTTGTGCACTCCCTGATTATCTCACGCCTTGACTACTGCAACTCCCTCCTCACCGGCCTACCCCAGTGCAAACTCTCCCCGCTTCAGACCACCCTGAACTCAGCTGCCAGACTCATCCACCTCACCAGCCGCTCCACCTCTGCCACCCCCCTCTGCCTCTCCCTCCACTGGCTCCCTATCGCCCAACGCATCAAATTCAAACTACTCACTCTGACCTACAAAGCCATTCACAACACTGCCCCTAACTACCTCACCGACCTGATTCCCAAGTACCACCCTACCCGTACCCTTCGCTCTTCACAGACCTCCTTCTATCTTGCTCCCTGGTCTCCTCCTCACACGCACGTCTGCAAGACTTCTCCAGGTCCTCCCCCATCCTCTGGAACTCACTACCCCAATCCATCAGACTGTCACCTTCCCTCCTCACCTTCAGGCGCTCCCTGAAAACCCACCTCTTCAGAGAAGTCTACCCCACCCTCACCTAACTGCTGCTCTCCTTCATTCCTCCTACCACTCCATCCCCCACAGCCACTTCCTCCTGTACCACTACCCCCTCCCTCCCAGATTGTACGCTCGAAAGAGTAGGGCCCTCTTACCCCTCGTGTGCTGTTCGTAGCTGCTGTAATGTTTCATGTATTGTCCCCCCCTCTATTGTACAGCGCTGAGCAAACCCTTTGGCGCTATATAAACTCAATGTAATGTAATGTAATAATCAGTGGGATTAAACAATGCATTTTTGGTAGATGTCAGTGGGGGGAGAATGCCCCATTCTTTGGTGTCAGTGGGAGGAAGTGTGTCCCATCATTGGTGTTAGTGGGAGGAAGAGTGCCCCATCATTGGTGTCAGTGGGAGGAATAGTGCCTTGTTGCGGATGTCAGTGGCAGGAATATTGCCCCATTGTTGGTGTCAGTGGGAGAAATAGTGTCTTGTATCAGTGAAAGGAAAAGTGCTGCAAGGCAAGCAGAGGGCTGCACCTCGCACAGTTTGATGACCACTGGTCTGTAGGTTTGGAGAACGGAGATATACGGAGATATAACGGAGAGTGGTCTTTGTGGTAGGCAAAAGAAGTGGCCTGCTTTGGGTGCCCACGCAGGAGGGGGTGCAAAAAGGGCAGGGCTTACAACCTATGCTGCTGAAGTGCGACCTGTTATATTACTTTTGGTGCCACTCAAAGCAGAGGTAAAAGCAAATCCCTGTGCTCCAGAGCATGGGGGGGCAGGCTTATCCTAATAGCAATCCAGAGGGCTAGTAAATGTAAAGAGGAAAGGATTGCCGCAAGTCCTGATCAGCCCAGGTGAATAAATGTTAAAGTGTGACCTCAGCCTACATGTCCTCACCAAACCACACACCCTGATGCATTTTCCCTGCCCACTAGGGAAGAGTTTAGCAGCTCATGGGGGGTAGGGGGTCAATATAACCATTTTGCCTTGGGTGCTAAAGGACCTTATCCCATCACTGAGTGTCACTTCACAATGCATAACTCTGGAGTATTTTACCATGTGCTCAATATTTTTATCTTGATGAAGCAGAACTACATTACAATGAAAGCAGCATCCATATTACAGTGAATTCCCAGCCTTTAGGCATCAGTTATACTTGTAGTTGAGAAACATTAGTGCAAAAGATATATATATCTATTATCAATTAATATCAAAAAATATCAAAATTATGTGCAAAACATAAGTAATTTAAATAAATTAAATTTGTGAATATAAAAAAAAACAAAAATGTCCAATTCTGAATTTCTTCAAATGTCCAAATAAATCCTTTCCAAATTCAGGTGCTCTCAAAGAAATTGTGCCAAAATCCACCACCAAAAGTAAAGTTGGGTAACTCACCAGAGCTCCATGCTGATCAATCTCTAGATCAGCAAAAAACGCTTTTTGCTCTGGGAGCAGATGCAATGAATCAACTTCTCAGGTGTGATGATCAATAGCTACACATTCATCCATAAGGTAGGTATCCACCACTCAATATAATGGTTCCAGGAGCATTATATCACTCTCTCTTTTTATATCTCTCCACCGAGGTCATGTTTGGGAATGAAAGAGAAAAATCATGGTGCAGCCAGTTTTTTTATAAAAGTATCCAACAATTTAATAAAGATTTACACTCACAAAAAGGGTGTCTTCACCGACACCAGTATAACAGCATAAAACAGCAAATGGTATAACAGTCTCCTGTTCCCCGTACACTCACTACAGCGCTCGTGACTTAATTTTCTCCACAAACGTCAGCATCCAGTAAGGGCTTACTGGATGCTGACGTTTGTGGAGAAAATTAAGTCACGAGCGCTGTAGTGAGTGTACGGGGAACAGGAGACTGTTATACCATTTGCTGTTTTATGCTGTTATACTGGTGTCGGTGAAGACACCCTTTTTGTGAGTGTAAATCTTTATTAAATTGTTGGATACTTTTATAAAAAAACTGGCTGCACCATGATTTTTCTCTTTCATTCCCAAACATGACCTCGGTGGAGAGATATAAAAAGAGAGAGTGATATAATGCTCCTGGAACCATTATATTGAGTGGTGGATACCTACCTTATGGATGAATGTGTAGCTATTGATCATCACACCTGAGAAGTTGATTCATTGCATCTGCTCCCAGAGCAAAAAGCGTTTTTTGCTGATCTAGAGATTGATCAGCATGGAGCTCTGGTGAGTTACCCAACTTTACTTTTGGTGGTGGATTTTGGCACAATTTCTTTGAGAGCACCTGAATTTGGAAAGGATTTATTTGGACATTTGAAGAAATTCAGAATTGGACATTTTTGTTTTTTTTTATATTCACAAATTTAATTATTTAAATTACTTATGTTTTGCACATAATTTTGATATTTTTTGATATTAATTGATAATAGATATATATATCTTTTGCACTAATGTTTCTACACTAAATTAGGAATAGTTTGTGGTTTTAGCGCATTCCTTGATTTAAGTTATAGCACTAAGAAATTTATTTGGTTTCTTTGAGGTGGAATTGCTGCTTTAAAGTATTAAGGGTGTGGCGCTTTTTTATTACACTTGTGATACTTGTAGTTGAGCCACATTTTTACTGCACCCCAATTACTCCTCCTTAAACTGTATATGGCAGTGTACACAATGCAGAAATTACCCCCCCCCAATCACGGCAGTACCTCCTGCCGAACACGACCCATTCAACAGAATGGAGCCACACCACAACTGCCCTATATGCATCATCACCACCTGTCAAACTGCACCACCAGGTTTTTAGGGGTTGAAAGAGGCAGTGAGTAATTGATGTAATGCCTCCTCACTACCTGTCTAATGCCCTATGAAAATTGATCCACTGTTGATCACTCTTCACATGGCTGCACAAGTGGAAATGAGCCCTTACCCACTTCAACACTGGGCACTTTTACCCCCTTCTTGCCCAGGCCAATTTTTAGCTTTCAGCGCTCTTGCGCTTTGAATGACAGTTATCTGGTCATGCAACACTGTACCCATATGAAATTTTTATCATTTTTTTGGGACAGATAGAGCTTTGTATTGGTGGTATTTAATCACCACTGGGGTTTTAATTGCTTGCTAAACAAAAGAAAAAAAAGACCAAATATTTTGAAAAAAAAAAGCTTTCTCTTAGTTTCTCTTGTAAAATTTTGCAAATAAGTAATTTTTTTCTTCAATGATGTGCACTGATGAGGCTGCACTGATGGTCACTGATGAGGCTGCACTGATGGTCACTGATGAGGAGGCACTGATAAGGCTGCACTGATAAGGCGGCACCGATAGGCAGCACTTATATGCTGCACTGATGGACACTGATAAGCTGCACTGATGGACACTAAATAGGCTTCACTGATGGGCAATGATTGGCACTGATGGGGCTGCACTGATGATCAAGGGCCCTGATGATCTATGCCCTGATTATCAATGTAAATGTGCGCTGTCTTGGGATTGCCGGTTATTGGCTTTCCTTCCCTCACACAGTGACAGTGCGTGGGGAAAGGAAATGCTGATAACTGGCATTTGTTTCCATGTAATTAGCTGTGAATGGTTCGGGCCCGGGGGCGCAGAGGGGGTGCAGGGTTCTGGAATAATGTCTACAGATGCCCCCCCAGAACTAGACAATTGCGCTGTAACCATCTTTTGACTATAGTTTGGTTGACAAGTACTTAAACAAAATCGCTTTAATTATTATATTGCAGTACTGTATTAAACTGGCACCCACCATCTTGTCTAGCCTATTCATGCACCATTGCCTTCAGCAGAGGAAATTACATCACAAAAATATATTCACACACCCACACAGGCTGGGTACTGGAACTGGTGAACAGGCTGGTGAACTGGATAGACTGCTATCTTTATTCAACCAACTATGTAACTATGGAAGAGTCAGGGTGGGACCAAGAGAAACTTCATTGACCTGTGCCATTCCATGCATTGTCCTATGTGTAGAGAGCAAATATTCCATTGCAGGAAGCATATACTGTAATACCCATGGCTTCTGATCTAGGCAGCTAGAACAGGGCTTTCATAAATGTAGCACCACCCCCATAGGAGTAGCTGAAGTTTGGGTCCCCCTGTAGTCATGCACAGCCAAGCAACACACATTTCCAGACTTGCATCCAGGAGACAGTAACCAGTTCTTGAACTTGTTTTTTTGAAGTTTTATTAGGAGAACAAACTCCTTAGCAACTATGTACAAGTCTTTACGTCAAACAGTCCCTTTTGGAGAGCTAGCCAGCATCTCCTGTAGTACCACACCAGACCCAGATGAATCTTCTCCTCATCCAGCTGTACTGGGTATATCCTTGGGCAGGGGATTCAGTTCCTACCACTGCTGGTGGCTGTTGCCAGGCCTTCTAGCTGGGCTACTCCTTCCCTGCTGCACAGGTGGTCCTCGCTCTGGGGAACGGTGAAGTCATAAGCTTAAGTCCTTCCAAGCTCCACTGCCTTTAGGTGAACCCCTCTCCATCTGGTCCCCCTCCCAGGCTCCTGTTCTCCAGCTTCACTTCCTCATCTTCCACCCGAACTATCTGCTCCTGCTGAGCAGGCTCAATCACTCTTAAAGGCTGTCCTGGCCCCTTGCCAAGCCTCCTGTTGGGGATTGGCCAGGGGACAGACTAGCCACTCCTGACCTCCTCCCACTGCTTCTAGATCTTTTTCCAAAGTTCTAGTGCAGGGGGAAGTCTCAGATAGCTAGTCTGCAGAGCCTCCCAGCTCTTGACCTAAATTTGACCCACCTAGCTATCACACTCAGGCTGCTACTCAGCCCTCCTCACTGACAAATGAAACTAGAGTTCCCCCTAGCTAACTAGGAAGGTGCTACATAAAGCTTCCCCAGTCCTGCCAATGATCTACACATCACCTGAGGCACATATACATGAAATAACTAGGAAGATAATTTTGAATTATGTATTCATACTTTTTTTTTTTTTTGCTCAATATATTTTTATCTTTCTTACCTGTAAAACATACTTTTCTCTTTGTAAAATAATATTTCATGTTCTTCCCCAGCAAAAAAACAAGAAGTCGATGGAAACCTTTTTGAAATCATCACAGCCTCTGAGATACATTACTACTTGCAGGCTGCATCAACAGAAGAGCGCAAAGAGTGGATTAAAGCTATTCAAGCTGTCTCCAAAATTGGAAAATAGATTTAGACATCAATGCAGAGTCACGCGTTTGTTGTATACAATCTATCCAGGTCATACAACTGTGAAGTATTTTATTATTACCATTGCCGCTGAGCCTTGAGCTGGGGGTAGAGTTGGGGCTACTCCTCTAGAAAATCTCCAGCTATTTCTATGGAGGAGATTTTGATAAGTGATTTAACATATTAAATCACAACTCAAGACAAAACTTTTTATTTTATTTCGGATAGAATGGGGAAGGGTTAGAACCTCTTTCAGGGTATGTTTGCCCACAGAACAGGAACATATTTGTAGTAGAGCAGGGAAGGGATAGAACCTCTGACAATATTTTTAAATGCAGTTTATGGGGTTGATTAACTAAAGCAGAATAGGCTGTTCAAAGAAGAGAGTATACACTTTGCAAGGGAATTTGTCCCAAAGTCTAGTAAGCGTGGTGAAATTTGCAGAAAATCCCCATCATATGCAAGGAAAATAATTTTAAAAAATTCATTTTTTGCTGACATATGATTGTATGATTAAAGTTAGCAGAGCTTCATGTCATTCACTAGGCTCTGGAGAAAATTCTCCTACAAAGTGCAACTTTGAACAGCCCATTTGCCTTTAGTAAATCAACTCTTGTGCCTTAGGTATCTTGAAGATGTCTGGGTCCTTCATTTCTTGTACAGGCAACACAGAGACAGCAAGTGAGGCAAAATCTCCCTAATGGGTTTACAGACAGAAATAAATGATTGACAGAAATGATGACTCTTAAAAGTGTCACTAAACCCACATAATAAAAAACTACCAATATATAAGTATTACATGCTATTCATACTCACTCAGTCACTATGAGATTCACATTCTGTATTCTACAAAAATCCTGATTGATCCCTTTGTTCTGTATCTCCCCCTCCTGTTCAAGTCCCCAATGCAGCTAGGGATTTTTCAGAGCAGTGTTGGCTGCTCTGCACATGCTCAGTTTTTAGTGAGTTTCTATGCTGTGTTTCCTGCCTATAACATCTGAGCAGCCTATGTGACTAGAAGAGAATCACACCTATGGGCATATACCTGGTGGTCCCTTCTTCCTCTTCCTCCATGCCCACTAACCAGCTAAACACAATGGGGGCAGTTTATTACCTGTAAATTGATGGAGGCTTCACCTTCCTCTCATTCTAAGGCTGGAGGAGCTTGACACAGTCTGTGACTGGCAGATCACCATCCATCCACACCACATTATTGCCAAAAAAATAATACAGATTTGATTTCAAATATTTATTTGTACGACAATTTTAAAAAGTTTATTGATATCAATTATTTATTTATTTTTATTCTGTATTCTAAAGGCTGTTTTTTTTTTAATTGTGAACATGTGACCTGCAACAGAGCTTTAGAAGCTCATCCTGCTCATGTTTCCCTGCAGACAGGCCAGGAAAGAGCTGGGTCATGTGACAGCTGTATATTAATGAGGAAAAAGGTATTCAGATAATCTTTTTTATTAAAATAATATCAGTGTTATCATCCATATACAGAAATAGAAGAGACAATGTAAATTAAACAGTGTTTAATATCACTTTATCAAAAACTAAAAAAATAACATTTTAACAGGAGATGGACTTTTAGGGAGATTTCCTGAAAATGAGGAACCCTAAAAATTGTTGAAGACTCAGAGAAGTGTGGGGTTATCTCCGGACAAAGGTCTGTAATTACAGATCTGACCTGCAGTTCCAACCTCTTGTGAATAGTGATGAGCTAAGTTGAGCCCAGTTAGCTCATTGCTACTGGTGAATGGTTGTATTGCAATGTGACTAGGAAATACAATTAAATACTATTAAATACAATCGTTCTTTAGGGGATAACTTTTATTTCTTTGATTGGGCTCCAGTCCAACATGCAGTGTAAGGCAGGCCACAGACGATGCACATTTCTTTCCTGAAACCACAGGTTCCACCATCAACACAGACAATGCTCATAGGAGAATCCCATTGTCATTAGCCTGGTGGGGGGAGCAACTGCTAGCGATAATCGCAAGTAAATCCGAAAGGTTGGTTGTACCCAAGTTGATTGATGAACTTAGTACATTCAGCCTGCCCATACACTGTTTGAATCTCAGCCAGTTCCTGCTGATCTGGCTGAGATTGGAACAGTTTATGGCCGGTCTAAGCTACAACCATTTTTCACAAGGAGGCTATTTTAGGAAGGGATCTTTGAATGATACTACACACCAGGGACTCAGTCAAGTTGGTTTTTTCTGTCCTTCTAGAAATAGATGTTTGTTTTTTTATCTATGTGAATGGTTTTATGATGCTAGAGCGACAACAAGTCTACAAAAGCTGAGCAGGAACAAGCTTACATGCGGCCATTGGATTGTTGTCATTCAGCTCTAGAACAACTCATTGTTCAAGCACTTGCAAGCACTAAATCCTTCTATCACAAATGGTTAACAACAACAACAGCAAAAAAAATACTTCAATAACAAACTCACTTTTCACAGTCCACATCACAACCTATTCTTTTAAGAAAAGTTACTTTTATCTGTATTCACCAAATAGATATATAAAATAGGAGATGGTCATAATGAAGCATCCATTCAGTTTTGGTCTAACCATCTGTAACTACCATAATTTCTGAATTTTGCACTAATAAATAAATAAAAACAAATGTTTAAATTACTCATGTGTTTTTTAGAAGTCTATGACATCATATGTCAGTGTCTAAAACAGTAGAGATTTTCATAAGTGTAATATAGAGCAATGAAGTGCAGTCATTTGCAGAAACTAACCATCAATATAGGATGGAGTTGTATTCTGACTCGCCTATGAGGCCATAAACCTTATCTCCCACGATGTATACAGCTATATCATGTGGTGTTGAATGTATCCCTTGCATCGGGTGAGATAGTTTAACTCAATGAATAAACTCACATGTTGAGGAAGTCAGATGAGGAAACCCATTCAAATGTTCCATTTAATTGAGAATATTCATAGGTGGAAAAATGTTAATGTTGTAGTCTCATAGAAGATGCATTCAGGAAGACAGGATACAGTGGAATGACTACCAGAGAGAAGAAGGGGGAGGGATATACACACATACGGTGAGAGAAAGAGCTCAGCTTAGACAGGAGAAGACAGCTGAAAGATGCAGAGCAATGATAAACAAGTGATAGTCACAGAGAAATATTAATAAATCAAATAGTGTAACACAACAAGTTGCATGACCCATACTGAAAGAAACACAAAGAAGGGTCATTTGTTTTATTTTGGATAAAATAAAGAGGTTTATTTTTAGTATGCTGGCAAAGTTATACTCTGCTACAGACTATACTTCTCTACTGTCTATGTTACAATAAACTGAAGATTACTTTTTTAAAGCGGATCCTCACTCTCCTTTTACACTTTGCCTCCATAGAATGGTCATGCAACTTTATTGCAATGTAATTTTTTTTATAAACAGTAAATACCTTTGTTAAAGAGAGGGAACGGCCACCTGCGTCTGAGGCCACCTAGGCTTTTAACGGCACTGTGCTAGCCCCTTAGACTCCTTGGATATCATCCTCATCAATCCTTAGAGTCTTATAGTATTCACAGACTGTATAATTATGTTATTTTGAGACTGGAAATGATGCAATTATAGGAGGAGTTAGGTACCATTTTCTGCAGCTTCCAGCCTGCCATTTGTTGATAGGTTGCCATAACAACAGGGCGGGAACTTCTGCCATTGCTACAGAAACTTATCAACAACAGTGTGCTCCACACAGTGTGCTTACTGCGCAGGCATGAGACCTGGAAGTGCATGCTGGGTAACCAGCAGCACAAAGTGTTGGCTTCAGATGCCCATAGTTGAAATGGCTGCCACCAGATTATTATTATTATTATACAGGATTTATATAGCGCCAACAGTTTGCTCAGCTCTTTACAATATCAAGGGAGACAATACAGCAACGACACAGTTCAATACAAGAGGGTTAGGATGACAATCAAGAATTTTGCAATATATTTGGCAAGTACAGAATTCATGTAAATGTACAATAATATTTATAGTGGTTAGAGTGATACTTAAAAATACCAAGGATGTTTTTATTCAAAGTTATGTGAGAAGACTGTAGCTCCTCTTTATGGTGAGCAGCTCCCCTCTTTTTCCTTTTAGGAACTTTTAGACTGTGAAGAGTTTTTGGCTATCAGTGTCCCATTGGGGAGATTTCCCTTCACTTCCTGTCCCATAACCAAAACAGGAAGTAAGAGGAAACCCCTCTGAAATGAAAACATTTCTGGTTGTCACTAGGGTCACCAGAACTAGTGTCTCAATGGAAGATTTCCCATCTATTTCTGTTTTCACGACAACCCAAAATTTGTGAGTTTCTTTTACTTCCATTTGCAGTGATAATGGTAAACAGTGCAAATAGAGAAGATGAATAATAAAAAAATGTTCTGCCTTTAGCTATACTTTAGGTTGTTTTGTGTAAATGTATACTGGTATATGTAAGCTGCATTATGACTTAACTACTGCTGATAGAGGACAGATAACAATGAACACTTCATTTTCCTCTTCATCTCATGTGCATTATCAGCTAAGAACAAACATTTCCTGTTTTTTTCACACTGCCTGCACCCACTGATAAAATGTTATATAGTTACTTGGTATAATCGTAATAAAGAATTAAGTTAGATATAATACGCAGTGCAAAGCAACACTTCTATGTTGTTTCCATGTAAATTAAATTACTCCTATATTTATCATACAGATTTACTACAGCTCTTGCTTAGGATCCACTAGGTTTCATCCTTGTATTCTCTTGAAATATAATATAATTTCAGGGCTGCTGTGATAGAATAAAAGCATTCTACTGTTCATTTAAAGCACTACTGAACCCTCTTGATTTATTTATTACAGCGCTTAATTTTTGCACATTTTATTATGTTACAGCCTTATTTCAAAATTGATTAAATTCATTGTTTTCCTCAACATTCTACAAACAATACCCCATAATGACAATCTGAAAGAAATTTGATTTGAAAACTTTGAAAA